GTTATCATAGGTTTCCTTCATATGGACTGCATGACCAACTGTAATTGATGGTAAAACATTGCCATTAAGCAGCAAAACAGCTTTAAGACTCATTTTCGATTAATCAATAAACAGTCTCCACTCATCTGGATCATTAACGATGTTGAGGGCTGCCATCACACCATCGATGTTGTTGCAAGCTACAAGATCACCATCCATGAAGAAGAATGGGACAAAATCCTTTTGACGGTCACGAAACATGGAAACCCTAACATCACCTGCCAGGAGATTCTACTGCTGCAGTCTGGAGCCCAACAGCCTCTGCCTTACTCTTGGGTAGTTACAAATCCCTGACAAGGTCTTTCAATTTCACCTTGTGTTATGAGGAGTGGTTCAAAGGAAGAGGATGGTCGAAAATCTTGGTCATGTGACCTTGATGGTTGAGGACTAGACGTTTAATCCTCTTCCTTTTCCTCGTCTGACTCAAGTGAGAATGATTCTGGTGCATCAGGAACCGGCAGTCCTTCTCCATGCGGTACTGGGCGTATAGCTGATGGAATGTTTGGATAATGCACAATCCACTTTTCCTTCTTTGACACACCTTTCCCAACTGGAGGCACAATGCAGAAGTCTCAATTGCCGATTTGATCTGTTGGCTCTCTCCAAATCATTGGCACTGCAAAATGCATAGATTTCCTTTTCCTGTTCAACCATTGCCGAAGATTTGTTGCACAAGTGTTGCAACATATGCCTACATCTTGTCCTGATCTCCAATTTTTCAGCCAAAATAAAGGTGATAGGTTTTCTTAACCATAGTGATTATACTGCGCTTTTGTGATGCAAAAGTCACTTCACCGCAAACATAGCAGAGGTTATCTGCTTTGTTCAGACAAATACGAGGCATCTCTGCTCACTATGGCTAAACAGAAATATGTCCCTTTGCAAAATCAAAAACTGTCAAATAAGAGAGCACGACACTGTATGATTTCTAGAGCTGATATAGGGCAATTGTTCAGCAGAGGGATGTAAGCATAGTTATGATTGCATCATCCATGACTTCTCGGAATAGCATGATGCAATTCATATCATGTACGATGCAATACCAGGTTCAGATTGCATAATTCATTGTTTTGCTCAAGAAGCAAGTGCTGTCCAAACCCAGTCATAGATTTATTCATAGATCCAGTCAAAGATGTATTTTAGCCATTTCTGGTTTAAATTGAGATCCCTTCTCTTTATAACTCACTTATCCGCCATTCCCAAGTCAATGATCGTGTATACTGACCCAGTAGCATAGCTTGAAAACTAGAGCCAATCAACAATTTTAAGCATAATTTTCATTCTCAGTGACCCAGAATTAGTAAAGTTTGACTACATTTATTTCGTAATCATTGTGGCTGTAGCCCCGTGTGATGCTTCCCCTATCTGGCGTTCCCCGTGAGACACACGACGCCAATCGTGACACATCCCGTCCGTCACACGGCGATCGGTGTCTCGGCAGCAGAGTCCGGCTTGCCCGATGCAATGCTGAGGCAATAGCCTCTGTTGGACACGTGTCCTAGTTGGACAATATCACGATATAGTTTACGGTGTTTATGGGTGTCTCATCATTAACAGAAGAAAGAGTTACAGCCGATTTATGGCCGCCCTTCGTCAGAGCCAAAGCGTCGCCACGTCGCGCAGCGAGGGCTCCTCCTGCCCCCGCCTCCACCCAGGCGCATGGTAGCAACGGCGGCGATGAGGGCACCGACGAGTCCCTTGCAAGGGTCACGCCGATGATTCACAGTCGTCTCCATGGCCATCGATGACACGGCCACAGTGGTGGCGATTGAGTTGGTGCAGCCAAGGCTGGTTTGTAATCTTGCATGCAGCGTTCCGTAAATTATTTTGTTTGTCATCATGTACGGAAAGTGTTGTCATTGGGAGAGTGATCCATTGTGGGAACACGGAGCGTGATGAACCAGAGCTCGCCTGGAGGGGGCTGTGCGGGGTGGGGGGCAATTGGGGGGGTCGGGGGAGACAAAGACGGCCGTGTAAGGTCCTGGCCACACCACTCTTCGTGTGCCCTTCGGGTCTTTACGAGGTGCTGGCTAACAGCGCTCCCCTCTGTACATAAGAATCTATGTGGATATGTGTGTAAGTCTGCGTGTGTATGCGTGTGTGGGGAGCGGTGGCGCAGTGGCTAGGGCACTACAAACCCGGCGACCCGAATTCGATTCCCGCTCAAACCTAATTTCTGAGACCGGTCCTGAACCTCCCCTAGGTCGACTCAGCCTTAAATGAGTAGCTGACGGCCGGGCGTGGTGTTGGCCACCCACCTCCTCGTCGGAGCTCGCTGACGGCACTTGCCCCGCAGTCTGTCTCGAGGCTGTACGGGCGAGCTTTGTTTTTGGGTGTGAATGTACGCGTGCGAATGCGGTAATTGCTGACGTGCGCGCCTCTGTTTGCGCGACTTCATTCCTAATCGCGCCCTTATCGACCCGAGGTAAACACTACAATGTGTAAAGACAAACTCCGCCTCAGCGATAAGCGCGTCAAAGCCAACCTTGACATGGGAACCGGCGGTGGGAGGCGAGGGGAGGGGCCCACTCCCCCAACCTCCGCACACACACAAAGACAAAGCGCCCCCGTGTAGCCTTCACAGGTTTTCGTGGTTTAGCGCTGTTATGGATCACCTATTAAGGGCGGAACGGCACACGAGGGGGTGAGTCGCCAATATCACGTCCGGCCGCCATTGTCTCACGAGTGGCGCTGTTGACACATCCCACCATGAACTCATTTGAGGCTGAGTCGATCTAGGGGAGCCCCAGGACCGGTTCAGATAATCGTCACCGGTGTTGGCCGTGAGCGGGAATCGAACCCGGGTCGCCGGGTACAATACACACACGATACACATACAATGCACACACGATACAGACAATACACACACAATACATATACGATACGCACACACGTACCCACCACTTACATACACACAGCCACGCATTAACACACACGCGGTTAAAATGCGGGTTTGCTCATACATACGTACAGACGCACACTGCACACACGTTCACACACACATTGACAAGTACAAACACACATTAACAAAAACACACGTATCAGCACACACATATTGGCACGTACACAGCCCTCGCACCTAAGTAAGCGGTGTTGTGTGTGGCGATCACGGCGCGTCCATGTGAATATTTCCCACGTGGCGATGCCCCAACCCTCGCCTCGGCCCAAGCGGCGAGAGCCTCGCCCTGGTCACCGCGCGGCTGGCGACACGAGCAGTCCGTGAGGAGTCCTGGACAGATGTTTCCAGTGAATGATGCGAGACCCTTACTCCTTGGCTCTTTCGGCAAAGTCACGTAGGTAGAAAATGAAATAGATCACGACGTTTCGGGCGCAACACAAGCCACCTGACGACGGACGCTGGTGTTGCGCCCGAAAGGTCGTGATCTATTTTATTTGATTTTCTACCTACGTGACTTTACCGAAAGAACCAAAGAGTATGGATTACTGCAGTCATGAAAGCTTCAAATCAAGATGATGTGAGACCCGTCTAAAATAGGTGTCATGTCAAGCAATTCACCCTCCTTGCTCGTATAAATACATGGCCACAAAGAGAGCTTTGCTCTGGTGGTGCCCTCAGAGGCCCGGGGTGGTCTGAGACGCCTCAACGGGAAACGCACCGTGGCCCTGTCAGTGTTAAATCACGCTGCGGTGTCAGTCACGCTGTGTGAGTCACGCTGTGTGAGTCACGCTGTGTGAGTCACGCTGCGGTGTCAGTCACGCTGTGTGAGTCACGCGTGTCAGTCTCCTCCATACCGCGGTGTCAGTCACGCTGTGCCTCTCTCTCTATTGCGTATCACTGGAGCCTGGGAGAATAGCAGCTTATATGTGTGCACATTACTTAGCCAGGACATGGCTTCAAGTTGATGTGAAGTGGTGGATTGTTTCAGTACCATCGTTGGATTATCGGAGTTCACGCAGAGATGCATAGACTTGCATAGAAACCAATATACGCAGATCGAAATTCACATACAGCACTCGCATGGAGGGCCGTGCAGACACTATTATATTCACATATAAACCCATGTAATGCCATACATGCTCATATCCTCACACAGAGATCATCCATAGACTCACACAGAGTTCACGGTGGTTGACTGCTATGTGGTCGATGGTGAGGTCAATGTTCCGTCAAATCGCAAGGCTCTGAGCTTCCTTTGATGTCTCACCCATGGAGGCGTGGGGGGGGTCCGTGAGACCGGCGCCATTCCACAGAAGGCGCACGATCCACGGTTGGCGAGGAGGAGGAGGAGGTGGTGGATGATCAAGGCGCGGAGGTTCGTGCCGCGTGTTCAGCTGTTCCACTCACGCTCTGCCACTCACTCGCTGCCAGTCTCACCGCGTCAGCCGCACGCAGAGTCGCGTCTTTCTCACGGCCATGGGCGCGGTCGCTAGATCCATCAAACCCGGACGCGGAACAGTGGGTGGAGGTGGGGGGGGGGCGATCTGGACCACCGTCTTTTGCGTAAATATCAAATCGAGTCGGTGACCTGACGCTGCCTTGCGGAATAGTCCACAGCTGCACGGCACCCCGACCGACCAGCCCCCCCCCCCTCGTTCCCTTTCCTCTCCATCATCAGATCCCCACCCGACCCTCGCCTCTCCGACATCTGACCCCCCCCCCCATTATCGTCACCCGTCTCCCACCATATCCACCCAACATCCTAATGACCCACTCCCTGTTCACCTGATTCCCCATCATCATCATCACGACCATTATCAATCATCATCAATCAGCATGACCCCTTTTACCGCTTTCATCCACCGATCAATTATGCATGCCGACCCCTCCTCCCCCTCCTCCTCCATCCTTCTCTTCAGCACCGCCACCTGTCAACCCCCCTCCAACTCCTTCGTCCACCCTTCTCAAACCCCGCACCTCTCCTACCTTCATGACCACCGCTAGAACTGAATAAAAACCTCTGCCCCCAGGTCGTCCCTGTTTAGTTCTGTAGCCCCATCTCATGGCGCACAGGGACCGTGGCCCCACGCGGGCCTCGCTCCTTCAGATGCCTCTGACGATCACGCTGCTGATGATGCTGATGCCGGCCGTGCGGGGCTCAGGGAGTGCAGGTGAGAGGCGAACAGCGACTGCGAGTGCACCTGTTCGGTCACCTGGATGATCTAATTCATACCTGCGTAATCAATATCACACCTGTGAGAGCATCTTTACACCTGCGTGATCACCTTCACACCTATGTGATCATCTTCACATCTGTGTGGTCAATATCACACCGGTGTGATCAAGATTACACCGGTGTGATCATCATCACACCGGCGTGACCATTGTCACATCTGCGCGGTCATCGTCCCAGCTAGGCGACCAACGCCCCCTGCCCCATTGGCCTCACACCCGGGAGGCATCGCGACCGCTGGGGCGATCGGTGTCGACTCGAACACTGCCTCCAAAGAAACGCGTTGAGATTATTGTTGTTGTTGCTGTTGATCTGCTTGTGCACCACCGCGGGGCGGGATGAGGCACATGCCGGCTGATCTGGGACCAGGCCCTTGCCAATGTCCAGCCATTCAGATTGAGCAAGAGAAGAGGCGCGGTTCGCTCGGACGTCGGTGGTGGGTTGCGCGCGACCGCCGTGACCCGGCCCAGGAGCTCCGTCCTCGTGAGCGCCACTCGTCCGGGAAGCTCGTTCAGTCTGTGGCTCGTACTTGAATCTGAGACGGATTGGGAACGTCGGTGGTGTAGGATCGAGCTGATAGGTGGCCAGGAGCTGGCAGCGAAAATGTTTGATTTATTTAAATCCACAGGTGCTTTTGAGTGTCAACACCCACACCCCTCTCTTACTCGTTCATGGAATTAGCCAAATATCCCAATGTAGCAGTAGCAGGGCCCTCGTGGAAAAAGAGTCATGAAACTCAGTGAAAGTTTTTATTTGTACGCAAAAGGACATTGCTGTAATTATTAATTATCGTGCCACCGGGACAGGGACCTGGCAGAGTGGATGGCGGTGGCGCTCTTCATTCCGCGCGCTCCTGTTGACACCCTGCGTCCGTGTCCGTGCACGCGCGCGTGAACACCGCGCATTGTGCGGTCACTCCATGCCACGTGTTCATCACTGTCTCCGCGACCCCCCCCCCCCCCCCCCCAGCGTGTACGCACGCCGCTCTCGACCTGAACCTGGTGCTGGAGGCGAACCGCGAGACGGGCACCGTGACCCTGGAGGCCATGAAGACGTTCGCGGGAGCCGCGCTCGAGTCGCTCGCCCCCGCGGGAAACTCGTCCCGCGTGGGGCTGTGGCGCTTCGACCGCGACGCGCAGCCGCTGCTGCGCCTGGGAGACGCCGCCTCCGCCGCCAGCGCGGGCTACGTGCTGGGCCTGCTGGAGGTGGCGCGGGGCGGCCGCAACACGGGCGGCGCCCTCGACTTCATCCTGCACGCCGGGTTTCCTCCCGGGCCGGACGACGGGGTCCATCGCACCAAGGTGAGTGCGGGGAGCGCCGGGGAGGGAGGGGGGGGCGCGCAGGGGAGTGCGGGGGAGCCACGGCACACAGGGACGCACGGCCGGGTCGTCTCGTGCGCCGCGTGACCGCCCGCGTGTCTCCAGGTGTTGATGCTGATGACGACCGGACCGGCGGACGAGAGCGTGAGCGGAATCTCCGAGCTGGCGAGCCAGGCCCAGGTGCTCATCGTCACCGTGGGCATCGGGTGAGCGGCCCTCTCAACTCCCATCTCTCCTGGGGTACTCGCTCCTCCTGGACATCTGTTAAAAGAGCGTCATAGCTCATCAGATTTCTCCAGTCTCGATAAATAGTATGATCTGATTTTGATAAAGATTCTGATTTCCCCTGTCTCTCCCTGCTGGCGACCCTTGTCTATCCGTGGTCTACTTTCTCACCTGCCACTTCATTGTGTCTCGCTGTCTCCTATCCATCCTCTCTCCACTGCCTTTCCCTGTCTCTCCCATTCTCTCTATTTTCTTGTCTCTCCATTGCCTCTCCTCTCTCATCACTCTCACCGGTGTCTCCGCTAATCTTTATCGCTCTCTCCTGTATCGCCCTTGTTTGGGAGTTGGACGACGCTTAATATCCATTCTCGCCCTGACCCCCCTTCTCCCCATACTCCCCCCTGCTCCCTCTGCTCCCCAGGTCCCTTGTGGACGAGGAGGAGCTGCAGGCCCTTGCCTCGCTCCCCACGTTCGCGCACCTCTACCCGCTCCAGATCAGCGCGCAAGACGCCCACGTGGTCATGGGCGGCATCTGCAGCGGTGCGTGACCCCGACCCTGACCCCCACATTGACAACTGCTCCCACATCCCATCACTCAGGTGGCCCCGCGTGCTTGCGATGATGATGACGCTGAGGGTCGTGTGCGTGCAGGCACGGGCGTGATGGGCAACTTCCTCTTGAGCCAGGAGACGAGTCAGACCATATTCGACAACGCGGAAAACGGCACAGGTGCGTGATGATGATGACGATCCGCACCTCCGATTAGCACGGGTGGCTACACGCGGTGCGTAAGAAGTTCAATATACATAGGAGCTATGATGATGATTACAAGCGATGATGATGATGATGATGGTGACGAATACTAGCGATGCTGAATCTCGCGTGCAGAGAAGACCCAGACACCGGCGCCGCCGCCGCCCGTGCACCTTGACGGCACGTGCAGCGCGTGGGGCCTGGGCCACGTGCGCACCTTCGACGGCTTCGCGCTGCGCGCGGCGGGCGCGTGCCCCTACGTGGCGGCGCGCGAGTGCGGGGACGGCGCCTCCAGCTTCAGCGTGGAGGTGCGGCGCAGCGCGGGGCGGATCAGCTCCGTGAGCGCGCAGCTCGACGGCCTCGCGCTCTCCGTCTCCCGCGACGGGAACGTGACCGCGCGCGGGGAGAGGTACGCGGACGCCGCACCCGAGCACGCGTGCACACGCCTCGCCTGCACGCACACGCGCCTCCATGCAGCGAGCCTAGCTGAGCGTACCCGGACCCGTGTGAGCGCACCTGAATGAACTTGAACTTCCCTGAACGCATCAAAGTACTACCGAGCACGCTGTTTAAACACGCGTGAGACATGAGAACACACAAGAAGCACACGTGAGTGCAGCTGATCAATACCGGGGCGTACTTCAGCGCCCCTGCGCACCTGTTGGTGCACACGTGGCCTCCCCGCGTGGTACAGGATCTGTGCGCTGATGATGCGGCGCGCGACGCGACTGTGTTTGTCCGTGGGGTGCGCCTCCTCTGGCGTGGCCTCTTGTGTCGGAACGTTGACTAGCACCGCGTTCATCGTGCTCCACGTGAACTCGTGCCGCCTCCTCCCTCCCGTGTGATCACGTGTGCCGCGTGCTGTGCTCTGTGTTAACCCGTGGGTGCTGTCTGCGTGCTGAGCTCAATGCTGTCCGCTCCCTCCCGTGTGGGCGAGCAGGGTCCGCCTGCCGTTCAGCGACACCGGCGTGCAGGTGACGCGCGTGGGCGCCTACACGACCGTGCGCATGCGCAACGTGGTGGAGCTTCGTCTCAGCGTGGACCAGTCCCTCACGGTGCCTCCCCACGCCGCTCGGCCCGTTCAGCCCCCCCCCCCCGTCCACCCACGCAGCATTCACATCCATATCCACCACCACGCGCATAGTTCACGCATACTCAGCACACCGCTCCTGCTACTTTACCCGCCATAGCATGGCAGGCGCTGTCTCGGACCTCACTCCACGTGTTGCGCCCACAGATTTCCGTGGACAAGAAGTTCAAGGGGCGCATGTGTGGCCTGTGCGGGGACTACAACCAGGACCCCGTGAACTCCGAGTTCAAGGACGGTGAGCGCCGTGATCCCTCAGCTGCCACGAGGCAGTCTCTTATAACCACGGGCATGGCGGCCATGCGCGTGCCTGTCAATCCAGACAACTGGAGGCAAGGGTTGTTGGATCACAGACGCTGGTTTTGAAACTTCCAAACCCGTTCGGCTGTGAGGTGGTCAAGAGTTGGCAGTGCCCACAAGCGGGTTCATGAACCCGGCCATGCGGACTGGGTGTTGTTGAGATGGGTTGTCTGCGGGTACTCCAGGATCTTCCCACTTACAAAGCGTCCACTAAAATTGGCCAAACATCCCAGTGTAGCAGCTCCCTGCTGAAGACGCACCTTAACCCTCCCGTGCCACTGGCGTCGTCCTTGCGCCCTCTGCCCCCCCCCCTCCCCCCCCCCCATCGTGCGGCAGGCGGCTCCACGGCAGGGCCAGAGGCTGGCAACCTGAATGGTGGGAGTTCAACTCCTGGTTGGGCATTGACTCAGCCCATCATCCCTCCCTCTAAGCTTGATAAAATAGGAACCACTTTGTGGGGGGGGGGGGGAATTAACAGCGGTTGTTTCTACGGATAGACTTCGCCCCCTTTAATATGAATGTGGAATTATCACCGCTGGCTCGGTGGTGTAAGCACGGTCTGACTTGTTATAGATAGCGAAGTACCTTGGAGTACTCATTGGAAGTCATTGGTAACAGCTTCTGTGTTTCTATTTGGCCGCAGCTGTTAACAGAGGCGATAAGAACTCAAATAACCCCCCCCACACCCCACGTCTCGTGGTGGCGATTCGCAGTCAATGACTCCTGGCTCCACCACCGCAGCGTGGATCACGTGGTGTTGCTCTCCACCGCAGCGACAGTCGTACCAATGAGGAGCTGATCCGACATTCCCCTCGCCCCTCCACTCCTCCCCGTCCTTCGGCGAAAGCCCTTCCGTGATCCCTCAGTACCCTCACTCGTTTCTCAATCCGCGTAGCACGCCCCTGCCATCTAGATCGTTCCATTCTGTGTCACCGTGTTGTAAGCTGTGTGATGGAGCGCCGATAACTATTTATTCGATGCTCGGGGTCGTTCCCGCTCATAAACCACCCAAAGCTGTCTCCGGGGAGACGGGCATCCGCGTGCACTTTGTCGGTGATGGCTTTGCCTCCACCTCCCCCGTCACACCGCGGGGTGGCGACGCCTCTCGGCCAAGCCGGTGCCTTCGCCGTTCGCGTGCAGCGACGCACGTGGGAAGGAGTGGGCGGATTGTCTGCTTGTTTATTTTGTCGCGGACATCAATAACAATGATGTACATTTGTAAAGTGGCGAGTTTCATCCGTACATCGCAATGCGCCCCGTGTACGGAAACTAGGAACGAGATGGAACCTGCAGGGCACAGGGCCAGGACTAGGGGGTGAGAGGCCAGTTTAGAGCGGCGAGTCTTCGAGACAGACTGCATCTTTGTTAACGACTCTGATCGCCGTGTTAGCCAAGGCGAAGCGTTGTTCCAAAGCTTGGAGGCTGCACGGCAACAGCCCGGCCAGCCCAGGGGCAGAGCCTTGACCTCGGAGTCCTAGTTAGAAGAAGGGGATGCGAAGGTGCATCGCCAGGACGCGACCCCAACTGAGGCCACAGCGATCGTCCATGGTGGTTGACATCGGGACCGGTCCTCCCGCGCCCCCTTGACACGAAAAATCCCAATTCCGTGACCGATATGAAGGTGTGTGGAGAGGCATTAAACCAGCAGTGGAATGAGAACGAGCTGAGATGCATTGTACTGATTACACGTCGTCTGAACACAGCACCTCTCATATCTTTACGAGAACACAACTCTCATTCGGTGTGAACTCTGCTAAACCCACCGCGTCCGTTCACGTCTTTGGCCACGCGGCACAGAGCTCACTGCGACGCGGGGCAATGGCTCTGCACGACCGCGCGGAGTGCAGTTGCCGGCGCGCGCCACAAGATGCCGCGATTTAATCACGAACGGCGGCGTGGACAAGCGGGCCCCCGAGTACCTCGTAGCAGAGGTGTGGACTCGAGTCATGTGACTTGGACTCGAGTCAGACTCGAGTCATGAATTTGATGACTTCAGACTCGACTTGGACTTGCATAACAATGACTTTGTCCCACCTCTGCCTCGTAGAGCGCCGGCGTTGAGCCCTGGCAGTTTGCGATTCGCTTACGAGGCTCAGATCATGCGCGAGTTTGCTTCGCTCTGTTGATAAACGCGACGCGACTCGGACAATGGGCGCAGCGTCGCGACTTTGGTCGCGACGATTGACGTGTGCCACTTATACCGTGTCCCGTGTCCCATGTCCCGTGTCCCGTGCACAATGTCCCGTGTCCCATGTCCCGTGTCCCATGTCCCGTGTCCCGTGCACAATGTCCCATGTCCCGTGTCCCATGCCTCGTGTCCCCCATTCTCACATCTTCTGTTCCCTGTCCCGTGCTCCCATCCATTCCCCTGACTGACGCCTGCTCCCCGTGTCCCAGACATGCGCACGGTCGCCGACTTCGTAAAGGCGCAGAAGCTCGCGGACGGCAGTGCGGTTTGCACCGAGGATACGGCGCCTCCGGGACCCCCCGCGCTCAACTGCTCCAGACACGTGAGGAGCCGCGCTCAGCTGGCGCACCTTGAGCACGTGACCTACGCACCCCCCCCCGGAGCGGTGCCTAGACCCCCGTGCCCCCCTCTTATCCGCACCCCTCCCCCCCGTCCCTCTCTAGGTGGACACCTGCCGCGCGTTCACGCAGCTCCCCGCCTTCTCCGGGTGCGAGGACGTCGGGGTGGACGTGCACGCGCTCGTGGTCGCGTGCACGCGGGACGTGTGCGCGTGCGTGGAGACGTGGGGGCTGCCCCCCGCGGAGTGCGCCTGCGACTCCCTGGCGGAGCTCTCGCGGCAGTGCGCGCTCGCGGGGGGCCGCCCGGGGGCGTGGAGGAACTCCCAGCTGTGCCGTGAGTGCCGCTCAACCACCCACTCACCCACCCACTCACCCACCCACTCACTTACTCACCCACCCACTCACTTACTCACCCACTCACCCACCACCCACTCACCCATTCACTCACTCACCCACTCACCCACCCACTCACTTACTCACTCACCCGGCCACTCACTCGGCCATCACTCATTCTGCAATTCTTTCAGTCATACATTCATTCATCACTCACTCATATATCACTCATCAATATCACTCATCCACCATTCACTCACCCACACATAATTCATTCAATCATTCATCGCTGATCTATCACTCACTCGCCTATCATTTACTCACTTGTGAATCACTCACTCATCGGGAAAGGGGTGATAAGGAAAGGGGTGGCGAGGGGGGGGCTGTGAATGTCAGGAAATGAATGAAATTCGCACTCACTCATTGAGGGACGGGGTTGTAGAGATAGGGCAGTGGGGGTGCGGAGGGAAGGGGAAATAAGGGGTGGACAAGGGGCTGAGGGGGACATCTCACAGGGAAGCATCGACTGAGATGATTCCCAACCTCACGGGACACACAGCACATGCCCCGTGCGTGGTAAGGATGACTCGATGCGTTGCGTAAAATTCCTTCACTGGGTCCCCGAATCCAGCCGCTGGAAGGAGGGCGACTCAGAGGCGCCAGGAGGAGGGGTCACGATCACGAGTGGGACGACAGGAGCAGCCACGCGATGAACCGGCGCTACATTACGCCCCCGCCACCCTCTGCGATTCTCTATATATGAAGGTGTAATCGGCCAAGCAATGAGTGTTCACCCGAAGAAAACCCATGTGTGCGAGGGGGCAACACTCGATATCATACAGATGGGACAGACGGAGTCCACACTTCGCTGTACCGTCTTCTCTTCGACGCCCGCGGGAAGGGGCTTTCACAGCACGTGTGCGAGACACCACGCCCTCGCTGCTGCCTCCGCAGCGCAGCGTAGCCACCACCGAATCACCGCATCCCCGGTTGAGGAGGGGGAGGGTGGTGGGTAGACGGCTGCGCTTGGAGTGAGTTCCGATGCTCGGTGGTGGCGTGTGCGCAGTGATTTTCGTTGCCCTCCGGCCCCGCGTGGAGCTGCGCTGACTTCAGCCCCGCAGCGCTTCACGCAATGCGCCAGCAGCACCCCGCCGCCTGCCACTGTTTGCTCGGAGTCTGACCCCCGGCGGTAGCGGCGGCTCAACTCTGTTTGGGTTTTGGTGTTGAACAGTCGCGTGGCTCATTGAGATTTAGACCCACGGGGTTGGACACTCGCACGGGGTCAGCGAGAGTTAGGACCATGGCTAGATACGTCTCATGGATCTTTTAGGATTTAGAGGCAGCGTTATGTGCACACTTTGCGCGTGGTGTCAAACGACATCATAAACGTAGCTACCGGGGTCATTTTACTGGGCGCGTTTATGCAAACACAGCACAGCCATAAACCCCACGGAACGCAGAGAACATTGCCTCTCGAACCCCCCCCCCCCCCCCCGTCACCCTCCGTGCACTCTGTCTCCTTCGCTCCGAGACCTTGACGCTGACCTCGACCCTTGCCTCGACGTCAGCTCCGGCTCAACGTCGTAATGATCGCCGCTGGGGGTAGGGGGGGCACGCTGGACAGCCCGCGTGCTTACGTGACCCCGTGACCTCCTCGTGCCGAGTGTCCTTGTGAGGAGTTGTCGTAGCCGGTCTTTGCACTTCACCCGACTTCCTCTCACTCACTTCGTTTCTTCACACACTCAAGTGAGTCAGAGCAGCCGACTGCGTACACCATTGCAGCAATACAGGATCATAAACAACACACACACACATACACATATAGGGGAAAGGTGGTAAGGGATGCAACACATTGCCAAAGGGCGAGAGAGGTAAAGGGGAGGGAGGAGGTCACAGAGTGCTGCTCTATACAAGCAAATGCAATCATCAATGGGTGTAGCCGTAATCAAGAAATGGAGATGAATAACAATCAAAATAAAGCATCATAACTACAAAGTGTTGGTCCCCTCGTAGAGAAGACGCCTTACGTGGTAATGCACGTGATGACGCTGCCGCGAGCGCGCGTGATAAGAAGTTCTTTGATTTGTTTTTGGAGGAGGGAAGGGGGTCAATGTGTGTAGAACGTGATGATGGTGAGATAAGATTCGGCCGAGGAGGGGTGAATCGGCGGCTCTGCAGGGCTCCTCCCAGAGTGGCCGTGCTGCGGCGCAGACCTGACTCGCGCCGATCGCGCGCAGCCGCCTTGGTGAGTCGCCACCATCCTGCAGAGCCGCAGCTCTTCTTGGCCATAGCGGCGGAGGCGACAACAGCATACATGCAGCTTTGCGGCATTCCATGCGCTCGTAATATGCGTAAGGCATACAAAGTACGAGCACACGACGCAACTATAGAGGCAATGTGGGAGGGGCATTGAAGAGTTACTGGTGATGACCACTCACAACATGTTCATCATCGCCTCTCGCTGGATACATTGAAGGGGAGGTGGATCAGGGGTCGTGGTTGATGCTGCGGCTGCCGTGTCTACTCTTTGGCCTGAAGCTCAGTTCTGTGGACTTTTCTTGATTGAGCGCAAGGTTATGTGGTCGATCTCAAAAGTCTTAGTCGCAAACTTGGTGCAATGAGAACGGTTATTGAGAAATTAGACTGTCTAATTATAGATTAAAGTTTCCCAAGTAAACTAACGGACAGTCTCAAAGGCTTCGCTGAAGTCCAGGGAGATGACAAGAACGTACTTGTTTGTGGTGAGCAAGCCAGCAACAAGCTTTCTTTTATCTGCAAATATCGCTCTCAATAAAGTAGGCAGCAGTGCATATTGCAAAGGATGGGGATGGTACAGGGGGCATAGAACAACTAGAATGAAAAAATCCCGCCACGATCTCAGCAGCGAACACCGATTGAACAAAATAAACTGGCAATGGCCATTTTCCGAGCTCTGAGCTCGACATCACTCAGATGCTGAGGTTCCTAAACGGGTTTCACGCCCAGTGAGTCGACGGTCTCAGTGCGGTCCACACCGAGCGAGTCACGGAGCCAACCGATTAGCACGGTTGGCTAAGTGCGGTGCAAAAGAAGTTTAACATACAAAGAGGAGATACAGAGATACGTGCCACGTCCCGAAACGACACGTGGCGCCAGCAGGATCTGGAGCTAACGACAGTGGAAGAGAAGAACCACTCTCCACTCAAAAAACACTCCACACAAGAAACACTCTCCACTCAAAAAACCCTCCACACAAGAAACACTCTCCACTAAAAAACAATCCAAACAAGAAACGCTCTCCACTCAAAAAAACACTCTACCCAATAAACACTCTCCACTCAAAAAAACACCGCACACAAGAAACACTCTCCACGTGGCAATTATTTCCAGGGGTCCATGGCCCGACTTTGATGGTGGCCGTGTATCTCCCTGTCTCCCGTTGTGTCCCCCATCTCCCCGTGTTTCCTCGTCTCCCCGCGTCGCGTCCCCACGCAGCCGCCTCGTGTCCCGACGCGATGCAGCACTCGGAGTGCGGCACCAGCTGCCTGGACACGTGCTCCAACCCCACGGCCAGCGCCCTGTGCGAAGATGCCTGCCTCGACGGCTGCTTCTGCCCCCCTGGTACCCGAACTCACCTGCCCCGCTCACCTACCACACTCACCTGCCCTACCCACCTGCCACACTCACCTGCCTCACCTACCTGTCCCACTTATCTGCCACATTCACTTGCCCGACCCACCTAAACACACAGATGCTCATTATCACTCAGCATCACACACTTCACACTCAACATCTCACACGCTCGACAAGACAACCCATCTTAATCATCATCGACATTCCAATTATTTATCCAGGAAAACCTGAGTATCAAGACATTTTCAGGAGGATCCTGCAGTGAGATGTTTGTCCAATTTCACTTAAGGGGTAACACTGAGCCTAGCGTTCAAGCTATTTTTCGAACGATGCCTCCACGTAGCCCTAGCCTATAACACCTCGTACTGCATTCCTAGTCTCTCAGAAGCCAAGCACCATGCTCTCAGGATTAATTGTTCATAGCCAATCTCCGATTGATAGAATGAGGTTTATTTCGGCACGATACACGTGAAACAGGAAGCACATCGCCCATTCTCCTGCCCCCCACCCACCTTGCAACCCCCCCACCGTCTCTTCCCCTGCCCCCTCCCCCAGGCACGGTGATGGATGATGTGGACGAGGCGCAGGGCGGGCGCTGCGTGCCGGTGGAGCAGTGCTCCTGCGTGTTCGACGGCAGGCAGTACCCCCCCGGCGGGGTGCTGGGGACCCCCTGCAGTAAATGGTACCAGCCCCTTGCCCTTGTCGTAACCACCTTGCAGTCGGGATAGGACCCCCCCCCCTCCTCCTCCATGTGCCTATCCCCTCTCTCTCTGCTGCGGGTTGGGGACCCGCGCGGCGCGGGCTCAGCCTGTGCCCTGGAGCACCGCGGAGCTCCGACTCCACCTCGCTTGGCCGCACCGCCTCCTCCCTGAGGCGTGGTGGGGGGGGGGGGGGTGGCCGGGGTGAGGAGCTACTCCGAGTGTGCCGCTCTCACCGTGGGTGTGCTGCTCTAACCCGTGCCCCCCCCCCCCCCGTGTGACACAGCGAGTGCGTAGGGGGCCAGTGGAACTGCTCGAGTCTGCCGTGCCCGGGGATGTGCAAGCTGGAGGGCGGCTCCCACTTCACCACCTTCGACCACCGCACCTACACCTTCCACGGGAACTGCCTCTACACCCTCTCACAGGTGAGCGCGCTGCCCAGGGGACCAGCTGTGGGTGGTGACGAGGTGTGGGTGGTGACGAGGTGTGGGTGATGACGAGGTGTGGGTGGTGACGAGGTGTGGGTGGTGACGAGGTGTGGGTGGAGACGAGGTTGGGGTGGTGACGAGGTGGGGGTGGTGACGAGGTGTGGGTGGAGACGAGGTGTGGGTGGTGACGAGGTGTGGGTGGTGATGAGGTGTGGGTGGTAAGGTGGTAACTCTGTGCCGGGTTCCACATCTCCGAGTCACATTCAAGCTTTTGTTCGTTTGTGGAATCGCGTGCACTGCAGGTCAGATCTCTGTGCAGACTGTCACGATCAACACCATGCATGACTCAGAATTAGTCTATTTTTGGTGAGATCATTGTGTAGGTAAGATGCAAACGCTACGTATCCCAAATTTCGGTTGCTTTTTAACATTCCCCTTCTGGTTTGCCGAGCAATAAATAAAGTTGGCACCGTGGCCCATAATAGAAGGGTTTGTTTGGGTTAGTTCGGGTAAATATAGATGTGTCGATTTAAAGCTTTCGTGACTGCAGGGATTCATCTTCTTGGTTCTTTCGGTAAAGTCACGTAGAAGGGAAGTAATAAAATAATAAAAAATAAAACATACTAAAAATATTTTATTTTATTATGTTTTATTTTTATTATTTTATTACTTCCCTTCTACGTGACTTTACCGAAAGAACCAAGAAGATATAGATGTGTCGTTAACCCACCACCACCCGACACAGCCAATGAGTAAGGTTTGTCACGTAAACAAAAGTGCCAATTAATTACTACTTCAGCACACCGGTGTTTTGGAGGCATTTCTATTTACGCGATCTAACCCAAGCAATACATGTAATATGAATGATAGGGGTCACGGCAGCCTTCGTGTTAAACCGGCATTCTCCCATGACGCAACAACTTGATTTGATCACCATGATGGAGACGAAGGCGGCCGGGCGTGGTACTGGCCACCCACCCACCTCGTGTGCCGTGCCAGTGTTAATAGGTGCTCGCCAACAGCGCTGGCCTCAAGAGTCTGTCGAAGGCCACACGGGGGATCTTTGTCTTTGCATCAGGACTGCGCAGGACGTGTGTGTACCGTGTGTGTACCGTGCGTGTACCGTGCGTGTGTACCGTGCGTGTATCCTGCGTGTGTACCGTGCGTGTACCGTGTGTGTACCACTGTGCTTGTGTGTATCATGTGTGCGTGTATCATGTATCGTGAATGTGTGTATCATGTGTGCGTGTATCATGTATCGTGCATGTGTGTATCATGTGTGTGTGTATGTATCATGTATCCTGCCTGTGTATCATGTGCGTGTGTATCGTGTGTGTGTCCTGCGCGTGTGTGTATCCTGCGTGTGTGTGTACCGTGCGTGTACCGTGTGTGTGCCACCGTGCTTGTGCATCAGGACTGCGCAGGACGCGAGTTCACGATCCTCGCCGAGCTGCGGTCGTGCTCCTCCACGAGCCGCGCCACGTGCCTCACCTCCGTGTCGCTGCTGCTGGCGCACGGCGGCGAGGTGAGCATCCTCACCACTCACCAACATCACCCACCACTCACCTCGCCCTACTCACCAACATCACCCACCACTCACCTCGGCCTACTCACCAACATCACCCACCACTCACCTCGCCCTACTCACCAACATCACCCACCACTCACCTCGCCCTACTCACCAACATCACCCACCACTCACCTCGCCCTACTCACCAACATCACCCACCACTCACCTCGCCCTACTCACCAACATCACCCACCACTCACCTCGCCCTACTCACCAACATCACCCACCACTCACCTCGCCCTGCTCACCAACATCACCCACCACTCACCTCGCCCTACTCACCAACATCACCCACCACTCACCTCGCCCTACTCACCAACATCACCCACCACTCACCTCGCCCTACTCACCAACATCACCCACCACTCACCTCGCCCTACTCACCAACATCACCCACCACTCACCTCGCCCTACTCACCAACATCACCACCTCACCTCGCCTACTCACCAACATCACCCACCACTCACCTCGCTCTCCTCACCAACATCACCCACCACTCACCTCGCCCTACTCACCAACATCACCCACCACTCACCTCGCCCTACTCACCAACATCACCCACCACTCACCTCGCCCAACTCACCAACATCACCCACCACTCACCTCGCCCTACTCACCAACATCACCCACCACTCACCTCGCCTTACACACCAACATCACCCACCACTCACCTCGCCCTACTCACCAACATCACCCACCACTCACCTCGCCCTACTCACCAACATCACCCACCACTCACCTCGCCCTACTCACCAACATCACCCACCACTCACCAACATCACCCACCACTCACCTCGCCCTGCTCACCAACATCACCCACCACTCACCTCGCCCTACTCACCAACATCACCCACCACTCACCTCGCCCTGCTCACCAACATCACCCACCACTCACCTCGCCCTACTCACCAACATCACCCACCACTCACCTCGCCCTACTCACCAACATCACCCACCACTCACCTCGCCCTACTCACCAACATCACCCACCACTCACCTCGCCCTACTCACCAACATCATCCACCACTCACCAACATCACCCACCACTCACCTCGCCCTGCTCACCAACATCACCCACCACTCACCTCGCCCTACTCACCAACATCACCCACCACTCACCTCGCCCTACTCACCAACATCACCCATCACTCACCTCGCCCTGCTCACCAACATCACCCACCACTCACCTCGCTCTGCTCACCAACATCACCCACCACTCACCTCGCCCTACTCACCAACATCACCCACTACTCACCTCGCTCTACTCACCAACATCACCCACCACTCACCTCGCCCTGCTCACCAACATCACCCACCACTCACCTCGCCCTACTCACTAACATCACCCACCACTCACCTCGCCCTGCTCACCAACATCACCCACCACTCACCTCGCCCTACTCACCAACATCACCCACCACTCACCTCGCTCTACTCACCAACATCACCCACCACTCACCTCGCTCTACTCACCAACATCACCCACCACTCACCTCACCCTGCTCACCAACATCACCCACCACTCACCTCGCCCTACTCACCAACATCACCCACCACTCACCTCGATCTACTCACCAACATCACCCACCACTCACCTCGCCCTACTCACCAACATCACCCACCACTCACCTCGCCCTGCTCACCAACATCACCCACCACTCACCTCGCCCTACTCACCAACATCACCCACCACTCACCTCGCTCTACTCACCAACATCACCCACCACTCACCTCGCTCTACTCACCAACATCACCCACCACTCACCTCGCCCTACTCACCAACATCACCCACCACTCACCTCGCCCTGCTCACCAACATCACCCACCACTCACCTCGCCCTGCTCACCAACATCACCCACCACTCACCTCGCTCTACTCACCAACATCACCCACCACTCACCTCGCTCTACTCACCAACATCACCCACCACTCACCTCGCTCTACTCACCAACATCACCCACCACTCACCTCGCTCTACTCACCAACATCACCCACCACTCATCCTCGCTCTACTCACCAACATCACCCACCACTCACCTCCTCACCTCCGTGTCCCTGAAGCTGGCGCACGGCGGTGAGGTGAGCATCCTCACCACTCACTTCGCTCGTAGATGACCCGTTGCTATCTTCTCCTCGTCCGTGTTGATCTCCGTCTATGCTCGTGGCCGTAATCCGCGCTCGTGAAATCGCGCGCGTTCAACACCGCAGGCAGTGGGAGACGCGGAGCTGTCCCAGGTGCTGAAAATGGCCCCGCTATGTCCATCGCGACCGAGCGGCGACGACATCGCGGCTCCTTTGAACTCAAACAACTTCCAGGCGGCGCCGTTCTCGCGCTCGACTAAATCCGACTCTGCTCTGCTAGTTACGCGATAGTTACGCGATAGTTACGCGATAGTTACGCGATAGTTAACAGCGCTGCCGTGGCTCGGGAGGAAGACTACAAAGCTGCGTGTCGCGTTCTATCCAGGTCATCAAATTCGAGGCAGACGGACGCGTCATCATGAACGAGATGCTCGCAAAGCTGCCCTACAGCAACAGCGGTTCGGCCCGCAACAACACACACACACCCCGTACAACACACACACACACCCTGTACAACACACACACACCCTGTACAACACACACACACACCCTGTACAATACACACACACACCCTGTACAACACACACACACCCTGTACAACACACACACACCCTGTAAAACACACACACCACAAACACACACACACCCCGTACAACACACACACACCCAGCACACTACACACCCCGTACAACACACACATCCCGTACAACACACACACACCACAAACAAACACACACCGCACACCACACACACACCACAAACACCCCGCACACCACACACACACCCCATACAACACACACACACCACAAACACACACACACACCACACACCACACACCACAAACACCCCGCACACCACACACATCCCACACATCACATGCTACATACCACGATTTTAGTGAGAGTGCTGCTATTAACACCGCCACGCGAATAAAACACAGCCGCCGCGCGTCTGTGACGCCAATAATTAACGCGCGTCCTCCCCCCCCCCCCCCCCCCGTGTGCGCAGCCGGCCTGCAGGTGTTCCGCCAGTCGTCCATGTTCGTGCAGGTGGCCACCCGCTCCGGCCTGCACCTCCAAGTGCAGCTGCAGCCCCAGATGCAGCTCTACGTGAGCGTGTCCGTCGCCTACAAGAACCGCACCTGTGGTGAGGGCCGCGGGGGTGGGTGCAGAGTGAGGGGGTAGGCTAACGAGGGATACAGGGTGGATGGAAGGAGTGGGATTGACTGGATGTGAAGGTGTGGCGCTTTGCGGGGTCCCAGGGCCTGGCGTGCATTAAACTGGAGTTTGGGGGTTATGGCCAACCTACTGCAGCCCAGGGTTCCGGAGTTGTCAATGGTGTCGAGGGTCTGTGATCTGGGGTACAGAGTTCTAGGGTCTAGGATTTTGGGTAACTCGGGTATATAGAGTTTGAAAGTTTATCTGGGGTCCAGAATCCCAGTGTCCGGGATCTGGGATCGGGGCTTCTGGGGGGTGCCACGGTCTCTGCGCTGGGCTCGCGGTACCGTCGTGACGCGCTGCCGCCGCGTCCACGCCGCGCCAGGACTCTGCGGGAACTACAACGACGTGCTGGCGGACGAGCTGAAGACGTCGTGCGGCCTCGTGGAGGCCACCTCCACCCCCTTCGCCAACTCGTGGAAGGCGCAGACGGGCTGCCCCGACACGGCCGAGGAGCTGCAGGACCCGTGCTCCATCAACGCGCACACCGGTGGGTCCCTCGCACCCCCCCCCCCCCCCACTCCGCCCTCCAACACCGAGTCGGCCATCGGGGTTGGTTGTGAGACCATACTGCGCTACCACGCCGGATAGTGGCGGGTCGCTACAGCGGGTGGCCCAGGACAAGGTTCAGCTGTCGCTCGCCACTAATCCGATAGCCGTGACCGGGAATTGAACTCCAGCCATTAGGTTCAGAGTGCGCTAACCACTGCGCTACTCATTATATCCCAGAATGCCGTGTGTTCGGGGACACTTATCATCGTTGTGATCAGTGTCCACGGAATCACGCTCTTGGTAAGATAAGTTACGAGCAACGATGCGCTTGACGATGATGTTCTCAGCATCTAAAAACAACGCTGTAGCCAGCAGTTGCGTGCCCAAGACATCACTGGGCTGTGCCTTTATTACAAATACAACCGCATCTCAAGGCGATATCGTACCGTGACATGCACTAAGATAGGCGGTTCTATGTGTGCATGAATATAGCATATATATAGTGTGTGTATGCGCTATACACACAGTATATATAATAAAACATATTATAGAGAAGAGATGGACGTTGATAATGATATGTTACGTAAACATTATAGAGCACGTCGGCCTTGGCGACTAATATTATACATCCTAATAAAGGTTTTTTGGACAGCTTTTTTGGTTGTTTACGAGACAAACCTTACTAATCAGCCGTGTTAGGTGGTGGCGGGTTTGACGACATTACATGGGGCACGAAATATCGATGTAATGACCCAGAATGGAGGGGGGTAGGGAAAGAGACGAGCCAGGAGAGCCATGGAGATCGTTCCGGTGAGGGGGGGGGGGTCCAGGCGGGATGTGTGTGGGGGGGGGGGGGGGGTCCAGGCGGGATGTGTGTGGGGGGGGGGTCCAGGCGGGATGTGTGTGGGGGGGGGGTGATGAGACTCGTGGGTGAGGAGGACAAGGAGGGTGACAAGGCTCGGGACGGAAGAGGACCGCGAGCAAGAGAGGTATCTGTATTTTCGTTATGTTATTGATCAAAGTTAGTTGGGGTTGTTACAGGCGGCCGTGGCTGTCATTGAGTATTGAATCGAGTGAGAAGTTGGACGACCGTCTGTGATCGGTGAAAATGTTCCCGCGATATTCCCGACGAGCAAGACGGCTGATTACAGCTTAAAGGTCGTGGGAATTAGACTCCCTCCATTTCAAGATTGTGACCCCAATTCGGCAGTGACGCCCACAGCGAGCTAGTGCCACGCTACCTCGTGTGACGTCATCGGCGCTGGGCGTGGCCATGCGCTGCCACGCCCCTCGTGTGACGTCATCGGCGCTGGGCGTGGCCATGCGTTGCCACGCCCCTCGTGTGACGTCATCGGCGCTGGGCGTGGCCATGCGCTGCCACGCCCCTCGTGTGACGTCATCGGCGCTGGGCGTGGCCATGCGCTGCCATGCCCCTCGTGTGACGTCATCGGCGCTGGGCGTGGCCATGCGCTGCCACGCCCCTCGTGTGACGTCATCGGCGCTGGGCGTGGCCATGCGCTGCCACGCCCCTCGTGTGACGTCATCGGCGCTGGGCGTGGCCATGCGCTGCCACGCCCCTCGTGTGACGTCATCGGCGCTGGGCGTGGCCATGGGCTGCCACGCCCCTCGTGTGACGTCATCGGCGCTGGGCGTGGCCATGCGCTGCCACGCCCCGCGTGCGATGGGAGGGCGCGAGGCGACGCGGTATTTGGACTTCATTGCGCTCGTGTCGTCTGCAGGTATTTGTGGAGTGTGCTTATTTAGAAAACAATACTTAAGAGTAATGTTAATTGCCTTTAGATTTTAGGGCATTTCCCGACAAGGTAGAAAGATACAATTTGGTACATGGGTAGTTTTAGGACACAAACCCACATAAAACATCAGAAAAATCAGAGATTTTTCATTACAAGGCCCCCAAATCTCAATTTTTAATGCCGTTCCAAATATTAGATTGCGTTAGATTGTTTGATAGAGCGTTAACCCGCAAATAAAATTAAAGCGAGAATCAGTGTTTTATCTTTTATTGTTTTTGACATTTTCGTATTAAAGCAGTTTTAAACGAAAAATACGCATTTTATGTTCAGATCTGAATAATTCGAAAACGGTCAAATATTGGAGGTTCCCTCATAGCCTATTAAGTTAATACATTTTTGTTCTTTCTAATACAAAAAAGGGAATCTTTACATTCAGCAGTTTCCGATGGTTACATCTTTAAATGTAAGAAGTCGAATCAAATCGTTAACAATTTTTGTTTGCAGAAATATACACGTGTTTGGAGCAGTTGTTAGTGTATGATCGTAGATAAAAAATAGTAAAAATGATATCCGGTTAATTATTATATTTATTTAAAATGTTTGCCTCGCTTTATGAACCAGACTGGACCCTATCTCATTAATCTGGAAGTGCAACATATAAACGCTGTCGAGGTGTGCATGTTTACAGTGTCCAGATCTGCAATCACCACCTCCCCCCCGTGCCCCCCCCCCCCCAGCCCAGTACGCCGAGGAGACCTGCTCCAAGCTCATGGACCCCCAGGGCCCCTTTGCCAAGTGCCATGGGGTGGTCAACCCCAACCATTTCTACAAGGTGAGTACCCCCCATCACTCCCCATCCCCCCTCCCATACCCCGTCCACGCGGGGCTCAAGGAACGCGGAGCGGTGACACGGCACCACTAACGCTCCGTGCATGTGTGTGTGTGCGTGTGTGCACATGGCCTGGCACAAGCGTCGTGGTGACGTCACCGCTACTTAGTGGCTAATGGCGGTTGTTGTTGCGTGTGTACATGTGTGCGTGTGTACATGTGTGCGTGTGTACATGTGTGTGCGTGTGTACATGTGTGTGCGTGTGTACATGTGTGTGCGTGTGTACATGTGTGTGCGTGTGTACATGTGTGTGCGTGTGTACATGTGTGTGCGTGTGTACATGTGTGTGCGTGTGTACATGTGTGTGCGTGTGTACATGTGTGTACGTGCGTGTGCCACCTCCCACAGACGTGCCGGCACGACACGTGCGAGTGCGAGAGCCCGGAGCGCTGCGTGTGCGCCGCGCTGGGCGCGTACGCACACGAGTGCGCGGCGCGCGGACACGTGCTCATCGGGTGGAGGGAGAAGGCGGGCGTGTGCAGTGAGTGTGCACCACGCTCACACCTGCACACACACGCACCGAGACAAAGATCCCCCGCATTGCCTTAACAGACTGCTGGGGCAACACCTGCTAGCGAGCAGCTACGTAGGCCGGCACGGCACACGACGAGGGGCGGGGGGTGGCCGGCACCACGGCCGGGCCGCCTTCGTTTCCCCGGCACAGGCCTCCCCACCTCCGCCGTGCGTTCACACGTGCCCCCACGCCCCCCTCCGCCTCAGCCGAGGCGACGCAGCAGTGCGGCGAGGGAGAGGAGTTCCAGTACGGCGCCTACGCCTGCAACGGCACGTGCACGTCGCTGTCGCAGTTCGACGCCTCGTGCCTGGTGACGGACACGCCCGTGGAGGGTTGCGTGTGCGACGGCTACCGCACGCAGGAGGGCACCTGCGTGGACGGGCCCTCGCTCTGCCCCTGCTACATCAACGGCCAGGCCATCGCTCCGGGCATGACCATCACGCGCAACGGCGCGCAGTGGTGAGTGTGAGGGAGTGCGGCAGTCTGAGTCGATGGGGTTTCGCCTCTGAGTGCTGGAAAAATCACCTCCCTCTGGCAAGGATGAGGCTATCCATATGATACATTAATGGACCCTGAAGGGATGATGGGCGACAATGTGATACTATTTTTATCGACCCCAAAACGATGATGGACTCGGTTAATCCCCAACAAGAATTAAAATAGGGTCGTCATGCGTTAAGGTGGTGATGCTACCATATCTCGTACAATACGAGGTGCGCGTTAAAGTACACAAACCCACTTGTATTGCAATCTCCTCTTTGCGGGGCTAGTCCAGCAACGTCCCCTGGGTGCTGAGGGGCTGTTATTCCACACGCACGTCCCGGCTCCAAATTTCTGCTCACAACCTTCACAACATGCTCGGGACCCCCCCCCACCTCCGACCTGCTGAGCCCCCACAGTGGACATCGCCGCGCGCCGAGTCGGCCCCCGTAAACACGTGCGTGTGTGCGCCCACAGCCTGTGTCGCCGTGGGGTCATCCAGTGCAAGGCCAACCTCGTGGCAGGTGGGTGAGGGACAGGCACGGGATGGTGGTGGTAATGGTGGTGGTCTTTGATGATGGTCATGATGATGATGGTGGTGGTGGTGTTCATGATCAATTCAATGTACAACTGCACAAGACTTTTACAGAGATAGGTTTCGCATTTGTTCATATGGGTGTGTGTGTCCCTGTGAGTGTTTGCCTCTGTGTATATGTGCATGCTAGTGTAATGACAGGGTGACACCTGCCGGCCTGTAAGGGCAATTACGGTTTTGGCTGCATTACATAATGCCTTATTATAAGGGGGCCGTATCTGGGGTAAAGGTGAAGGGCGGAGTCAGTCGAGAAGTTCCGGGATCCAGCCCGAAGGTTCTGGAAAGGGGACGTGGCCAGAGGTGGAGCTTGGCAGCGCCGGGACAGATATAAGGGGGACCGAGCCAAAGGTTCGGGGCTGTTCTGCGGGTCCTGGCTGCGTCGCTGCTCGTCGTCATCTCTCCGTCTTCGACCACGTGGCTGTTCTGCTGCGAGACCGTCGTCCCCGTCGCCGCCGCTACGCGAGTCGAACAGCTCGCGTGGTGCACGACGGAGATGGGCTGCGTGTTAGAATCGCCCATGTGTAGCTGCGTTACGAAGTGGATCGCCCCGTGCGCTCTTAATAAATACGAAGCCTTTGACTCGACGTGTCTCGGAAGTCACTCGCTACACATGTTGTAGGGAGCGTTCGTGCAGCAGTTAGCGTGGTACGTTGCGAACCCGGCGACCCGAGTTCGATTCCCGCTCACGGCCAACATTGGTGACGAGTATCTAAACCGGTCCTGGAACTCCTCTAGGTCGACTTGGCGTTAAATAATTACCTCGTGTGGTGTGCAAAAGATGTAAGCATTGGGCCGGGCGTAGTGCTGGCTACCCACCCCTTCGTGTGCCATGCTATCCTCAGTAGGTGCTTACTAACAGAACTTCTTTGTCTGTGTGTGTGCAGAGTGCCTCCCCCCGCGGGTGTTCGTCGACTGCCAGGCTGCCCTGCCTGGGGTGCAGGGGCTGGCGTGCGAGCGGACGTGCCAAAACCCCGACATGGAATGTGTGAGAGGAACACGGCCAGCCACTCACCATCCACACCACGACTACAATGTCACATCCACACTCTGGCAACAATAGCACAACCACAATATCGGCACCACGTCTTCTTGACAGAGGTGTTGAAGCCATGGCTGTACGTGCATGTACACTTGTGTGTATGTGTATACGTGTATGTCTATGCACGCACATACACGTGTGTGCGTGTTTGTGCAAGTGGGGAGGGATGCTCTAGTAGTTAGCACACTGCAACTCGAGTTAAATTCCCACTCAAGACCAATAACAGTGACGAATATTTGAACTGATCCTGGGCCTCACCTAGGCCAACTCAGCCTTAAATGAGCACTTGGTGGAGCGTATAAACATCAGCCAAGGTAGCCGGGCATAGTGCTGGCCAGACCACCCCGTTGTGGGCCGTACGCCTTCGTAGATGATCGCTAACACCACTTGCCCCAACGGTCTGTTAATGGAATCTTTGTGTTTGTGTGCAGTACACGCCCGGCTGCGTGTCGGGCTGCATGTGCCCCGAGGGCACTGTGCTGGACAGCGCCGATGGGTGCGTGCGCCCTGACCAGTGCCCGTGCCAGCACAACGGCCAGAGCTACAGCCCGGGCGACAGAGTGGCCGTCGACTGCAACACGTGGTGAGCGGCCGGTCCACACCGCAGCAACAACCAGAGGCGCCCAAGAGACTGGAGATGGCTTTCTCGGGGAGTCACGGTCACATTAATAGGCCGGTATTCATCGGTTGTATGAGAGGGGGCCAATAGTGTTTGTCCCTTTTGTTTTGGTGCCTTTTCTTTATTTGTTTATTTATTAAAATTTTAGTTATGTTCATTCTCTTGGCAATTGCTATAAAAATAGATTTAGCCCTCATATATATAATAATGTACAGCTTTGTGAGATGCATTAGCATGACTGATCCTATATGAAATAAAAACCAGGGAGAGAAGCTTGGTAAGAATGGTGCGCTAAGCTGGTAACTCCGGAAGTACATTTATAAGGGGATCACACAATGCCTGGTCAACGAGAGAAAGGTAATCTGCACAGCCGCCCTCACGGCGACGTTGCTACCCACTTGTAAAGCCGACGGGCGCCCTGTGGCTCGCTGCTTGAGCCACAGAGCGCCTGTGCACAGTCGTCCTCGTGGCTCAGCAGCGCATGGCTGAAGCCGTCCGTCCGCTCGCGTGCAGCACGTGCGAGGGCGCTCGCTGGAGCTGCACGGACGACGACTGCATGGGGCTGTGCTCCTTCTACGGGGACGGACACTACACCACCTACGATGGGCGGCGCTTCCTGTTCGACGGGAAGTGCGAGTACATCCTCTCGCAGGTGAGGCCCCCCCCCCCGCTCCCCCTGGCCGCCCCCTCCCCCTGGCCGCCCCCTCCCCCTGGCCGCCCCCTCCCCCTGGCCGCCCGCCCCCCTCTTGCTCTGTGCTCGTGACGCTGTGCGGCGAGCTACGCGCCACGGGGTCGTGCCGGTTTCTGCCTCCCGCAGGACTTCTGTCCGTCCAACCCTGCGGGCGGAAGCTTCCGCGTCATCACAGAGAACATGGCGTGCGGAACCTCGGGCGTCGCCTGCTCCAAGAGCATCAAACTCCTGCTCGGGGTGGAGCACCTCACCACCACCACTCACCACCACCACTCACCACCACCACCACTCACCACCACCACCACTCACCACCACTCACCACCACCACCACCACTTACCACCACCACTCACCACCACCACTCACCACCACTACTCACCACCACTCACCACCACCACCACTCACCACCACCACTCACCACCACACACCACCACACACCACCACCACCACTCACCACCACCACCACTCACCACCACCATCACTCACCACCACCACTCACCACCACCACTCACCACCACCATCACTCACCACCACCACTCACCAGCACTCACCACCACTCACCACCACTCACCACCACCACTCACCACCACCACTCACCACCACTACTCACCACCACTCACCACCACCACCACTCACCACCACCACTCACCACCACCACCACCACTCACCACCACTCACCACCACCACACACCACTCACCACCACTCACCACCACTCACCACCACTCACCACCACCACTCACCACCACCACTCGCCTGCGCCCACCACCACTCTCCACTACTCCTCTGTGCCCACCACCACTTTCCACCACTCACTTGAGCTCCTATATTCATCTGCATTCACCTCGACTCGTCCCCTACACTCACATCCACTCGCCTGAAATCATCTACAGTAGTCACCTGCACTTCCCTAGGCTCACCTCAGAATCGGAATCTCGATTTATACTGCAGAAATCCGATGCGCCATAAAAGTATTGTTCACAGATGTCCAGTAGGGAGAGGTCAAAAGGTTACAACAAACAATGTAAAACATGATAGGGGTGCAAAGTAAAGGAAAGCAAATCACAAAAAAAATTTGAAAAATAAAAACCATTTAATTTACCAGGTAAAGCCCACTCAGCTCATGGCTTCTTGTTCAGAAGGGACCTGGCCATAAAGGATAGCTCAACGAAGTGGCTTCGGGGCCGTCCATAAATGACGTCACGCGATTTTGGACGATTTTTGACCCCCCCCCCCTCGTCACACCGCGTAACAAAAAGTCAGACCCCCCTCAAATATGACGTCACAAAGCTCTGCCCCCCCCCCCCAAACCATATTTCCATTTTGAAAATAAAACACGCTTCAAATCGCTTTAAACTATTGTCATTGTAGTGCGTATTTAATGTGGCGCTGCACTCTGATGTTGTAGGAGAAAACATTTATTAAAAAGGAGGCGTTGGAAAGCTTGCATTTAGCATAAAATTCACTTGAAAATATTCAACGTTTAACTAAAACTGCAGATGTTCAGAATATTATATTAAAATTCTCTTATAATTATCATATATTAAAAGTAATTTTAACTATTTAAAAAATACTTGAAACTTTGTAGTAGAATGAAGCAAAATGGAGAGTACAATTATAACAATCATATATTCATTCCACAGAATGAAAAGCCCTGGTAGAATCATTAAAATCAAAATGTTTAATAACAATCATTAAAAAAATGTTCAAAATGTATGCTTCTCCATTTTCCCATGGAGAAGCAAAATGCTCCTTTATGGAATAAATAAATAATAATCAAATCGTTAATAATGAAAATAAAAAAAATTACTTATTTAAAGTTGCGCATTTTGATGTGATGTAACATTTCTCAACCCCCCCTCTCCCCTCGTCACACATCGTCACAAATGTCTAACCCCCCCCCCCCCCTCCCAGGTGCGTCACGTCATTTATGGACGGCCCCTTATCATGTGGAAATTTATAGCAGCCAAATAATCTAATCACCACCACTCACCAACACTCCCCTGCACTCTCCTATATTCACCTGCACTCGCCTGCACTCGCCTGCACTCGCCTGCGTCGCAGCTGGGGTTTACGTGGTGGTGGTGTTCGCTGCCGCGTGTCCCAGGACGTGGAGATCCGCTTTGCCGATGGCGATCACAGCATCAGCTCCGTGACGAGTGGGGCGGGCCCCCACATCCCGTACAGGATGCGGAAGCTGGGGGGCACCCACATCGTGGAGGCCGCCAACGGGCTGCTGCTGCAGTGGGACGGGGGCAACAGCGTGCGCCTCATGGTCTCCTCCGACAGCCGGGTACGACGTCGCCTCTCTCGCCCATATATTGGACCATGACGCCGGTGCACGACGGCCTGCTCTGCTACGATACCTCACGGGTCCAGTAACATCCACGATGAAGCAGATGGTGCGTATTTTACGGATATCCCCGCGGCGCTCGTACGAACTCCCGCTTCTCGGCGCAGGGCCGGCTGTGCGGGCTGTGCGGAGACATGGACGGAGACTCCCTCAACGACTTCACGGTGCGAGGCCAGGTGGTGGTGGCGAGCCCCGTGGAGTTCGGGAACTCCTGGCAGGTCTCGTCCCTCGCGTGCGCGAGCACCACCGCCAACGCCGACCCGTGCTACATGAACCCGTACCGCAAGGCGTGGGCCGAGCGGGAGTGTTCGCGCATCATGGGCGACACGTTCAAGGGCTGCCACGCCAAGGTGCGACGTCTCGCCGCGGTCGCGCCCCACGGACTCTCGTGGCACTGCCCTGAACCCCCTGTCCCCAACGCCGCGACGACACCACGAGGTTTACCGCCTTGAATAGGGTAGCGGCTCAGCGGTACCCAGTAAGCACGCAACGTCGGCCCAACGTTGGCATGTGATTGTAAACGTTGATATAATGTTGGCCCAACATTGTGTGTTTACTGGGTAGAGTGAGTAGCTCGAACTATAAGTTAAAATCCTGGTTGGGGGGTTGACCCTGCCCATCATCCCTTCAGAGTCGAAAACATGAGTACCACTTTGTAGGGAAGTCAGCAGTTGTTGCCATATGGATAGACTCGCCTCTACCATCGGAATGAGCAATTTCCACCACTGGGAGATGAGCACCCTTGCCTCAATGCTCATTTGAGAAGGAAATCCCTTGATTGTTTCTTTCACAATGGCTTTTCCAGAAGGATTCTTTATTTTATTGTGAGGAGTTTGTTTCATTGTTTTGTCCTGGTCACATCAACACAGGGTAATGGAGCATGATAGATAAAACCATCACTAAGTTTGGTATTCGTGCCATTCTCATGGAGCAAGGCTTTCACCATGGTACAGCCTGCAGTAGCTTCACAGTACGGGGCGGTGCTGCTGTGTGTTCTCCAAACTGAGTAATTTGCGGTGTCATTTTTTTATTTTTCAAAGTGACCAAAAACTTGGACCTTGACGCTAGCACACAATAGCCCATTTTTCAAATTACATTGCGGGATTTTTAACATTCACTGTGAAGCACAGAGCACAAACCACAAATATCTTCAACAAGTGGCATGTGCTACCGCTTGCCCGTGTTGTTATCATCAATCCTGCTGCGGCTGAACCTGCTGCAATCACAGGATATCAAGCTGTGAAAGATAGCAGATCACAAGAAGAGTTAAATGTCCCAAGAGCACCGAGCAGCAGACTGACGCGGGACTGTGTGCTGCAGGTCGACCCCCTGCCGTACTACGAGGCGTGCGTGCGTGACTCGTGCGGCTGCGACATGGGCGGCGACTGCGCCTGCTTCTGCACGGCCATGTCGGCCTACGCGCAGGCCTGCCGCGACGCCGGGGAGTGCATCGCCTGGAGGTCCCCGGTCATCTGCCGTGAGTCCCGCGAACCGCGGTCCCTGCACGACGAGCGAAGCGGGAGGATGGATCGATGGTTGTTACTTGTCCTTAAATGGGACCGAAAGTAGGAGAAATAGCGTTCTGGTGGTTAGCACGTAGCACCAGGAGCCTGACGGGCCAAGGTCGCTTCCTGACCATGGCTAAGGTTAGTAGTAAGTGAGAGCATGACCTAGTCCTGCCCACCTTCCCACACCAACCCGCAGTGACCAGTACCGTAAGTGTTGTCAAACGACCGCCATGATGAACATGGCATGTGGAGGCCACTTATTTATGATTCCTGGTGGTTGCGCATTCTGCTAGATGACATATGTGCATGTGTACAAAGAATAAAATAACAATGCAATCTAGTGAGACGTTACCTATATCCGCACAGCCAGCAGGAATCAAAACTCATAAAGAGCAAGATAGAGAGCTGGGTCTTGAGTGTAGATTTAAAGCTCTCTACCTACAGACACACTCGCTTATCCCACTAGGTTGAGAGTTCCAGAGGCTATGAACTACACTACAGGGCATTGAGACCGATATTGCGAATGGTGCATTACACAGTGGATGATGATGATGTGCTAGTAGCGAGCATGAACCCAGGTCCCCGTACGTATGCGTGTGTGACCGCGTGCGTGTTCCCCCACAGCGGCATTCTGCGACTACTACAACGAGCCGGGCCACGAGTGCGAGTGGCACTTCGAGCCGTGCAAGAAGCCGTGCATCCAGAGCTGCCGCTACCCAGAGCAGAACTGCTCCACCCACCTCCCCTCCATTGAGGGTAAGGGTTACACACGCTGGGGGGATCCAGGGCCCCGTGGCGGGGACGAGGAGGAGTTGTTTGCAGTCCCTCTCAAACAATGAGACAGAGTTTCTTCTCCACACGCCGTGGCAACTCCAACACGCCGTCGTTAACAAATCGACAATGTGAAAGTGTCCGAGGCCACACGGTGCTGACTTCTACCCCCTGTGCCTCCTGTGTCCCCCCCCCCCCGCGCCCAGGCTGCTTTCCCACGTGCCCCCCTGAGTTCCCTTTCCTAGAGGAGAACAGCATGAAGTGCGTGGCGCTAGAAGACTGTGGCTGCTATGACTCTGACGACCCGAGCATCCACTACAACACGAGCGAGACCGTGCCGTCGTCCAATCGCTGCGAACACTGGTGAGCACCGTCCCGATTCCCACACCACCAGTGCGTGACCCTAACCAGATGACAGTGCCCTCGCTAAACATTCGTTGAGCATCTCAGGCAGTGGCTGCCAATACATCGAGCGCTCTGATCTATTTTGGTGGTTCTCAATGGACGATGCACGAGAAAATATTACTGACAATAATCTGAATTTTACCCTGTAGTGCCTAAGTATGTATTTTTAATGAGGGCAGCTGCTTTTATTATATAACTGTAGTGCTCAACTTTACGCGGACAACTTCTTCTTCTTCCGTCGTCACTTTATTTTACAAAACTCAGCACATTCCACAGCCAAGACTTCAGCGCGTTCTCTGCTCGCTCGCCACGCTCCGCTGGCCTCGCCCGCTCCGTTCCCTCCCTCTCTCTCTCCGTCTCTCTCCCCCCGACTCTCCTCTCTGCTTCGCCTGTCTCGGCTTCGACTGTCTCGATCTCGCTCGGCTTCTCCGTCTCACTCCGACTGTCTCTCCCTCTCGTTTCCGTCTCACTCCGACTGTCGCTCTTTCTCGGCTTCTCCATCTCACTCCGACTGTCTCTCTCTCTCTCGTGTCTTCTCTGTTCCCGTTCCACTGCTAGCCTATCCTATCTCTCACCTCTTCTTCTTCTTCTCCTGCTCCACTGCTAACCTATTGTATTTCTTCTTCTGCTCCGACTCTCTTCGTCCAGCTCCCAGCACAACTCCCCATCTCACTCTCATGCTCCCATATTTATCCCCGTCCTCATTAATTTCCAATTAATTAACCGGCATCCCCGCCGACGCCCCGCACCCGCGGCCCCCGCCGCCACCTGCTCCCATCCCCAGACTTGCTGGCGCCACCTTGTCCCTGACAACAACACCCGGCCAATCACTGCCCTGCATCCCATAATTACCTAACGAGCCGTCTCTCTCCGGCCGTTATTCCCCAGCAACACCTGCTTGTCCTGATGCGACCCCACTGTCCATAACCCGCGCGTGTTTACAATTTTCCCCCTTGGCGCTCGTTAATCCACTACATAACTACTAATCACGGATTATTAGTACGCATTATAACGCTATACATTACTCATGCATGGCTATAATTAATTAACTGCTTCATTTGCGGGACACTTACATTAATCACAAACTTTTTGCAGCATTACCATCACCTATATTAACTTTGCATGATTGACTCTGATATTAACTAAGCATTAAAACAATATAATACTACTGTGCATCATTCAGCCCAATTCAGGCTGTGCTATGTTGCGCGGACAACTAGGCCCAACTCAGACTCCATCTTGTGTGATTAATTAGGCCCAACTCAAGCTCCATCTTGTGATTAATTAGGCCCAACTCAGGCTCGATCTTGTGTGTGATTAATTAGGCCCAACTCAGGCTCCATCTTGTGTGATTAATTAGGCCCATCTCAGGCTCGATCATGTGTGTGATTAATTAGGCCCAACTCAGGCTCGATCTTGTGTGTGATTAATTAGGCCCAACTCAGGCTCCATCATGTGTGTGATTAATTAGGCCCAACTCAGGCTCCATCATGTGATTAATTAGGCCCAACTCAGGCTCCATCATGTGTGTGATTAATTTGGCCCAACTCAGGCTCGATCTTGTGTGTGATTAATTAGGCCCAACTCAGGCTCCATTATGTGTGTGATTAATTAGGCCCAACTCAGGCTCGATCTTGTGTGTGATTAATTAGGCCAAACTCAGGCTCCATCATGTGTGTGATTAATTAGGCCCAACTCAGTCTCGATCTTGTGTGTGATTAATTAGGCCCAACTAAGGCTCCATCATGTGTGTGATTAATTAGGCCCAACTCAGTCTCGATCATGTGTGTGATTAATTAGGCCCAACTCAGGCTCCATCATATGTGCAACCAACTAGGCCCGATGCGAAGGCTCGACCTCACTTGTCACCAACAAGGCCTAAAGTACCGCCGGGGGCCTAAAATACCACCCATTTACCCCAAGCCAATTGTGATCAACCGCTCTGCATGCCACTATTATATGCTCATGTTGCCGTTTGTTCGAATTTGTGCTGAGATTCACAAAAATTATCTTGTGATCCACGTATTGGCCACACTCACCAGCAGGTGAAAAGACGGCAATACTGTGTGACAGAGAACCTTCTCAACACGTTTCTCTAGAGGTTTACCGCAGTCCCTTCTCCTTGGAGGTGTTAATCGTGTTCCGTCGCATGCAGCCTGTGCACGGCGGAGTCGCGCATCGAGTGCACGCCCGTTCCGGAGTGCGCGTGCATTTGGAACGGGACCGAGTACCAGTACAATGAGACCATCTACGTGGTGGGCGACGGCATGGGCGTGTGCTACAAGGCTTACTGCGGTGAAAATGGCAACGTCTTCTACCGCGTGGTGACACCGTGTGGCAGTGACACCATCCCCAATATCGGCACCACTGGCCCTACCGCCAGCACCACCGGCCCCACCGCAAGCACCGTATTCAGTGAGTGCATTTCTGCACCCGACACAGCTGTTTTTCCCTCACACTAACCCAAGTCCTGTGAAATGTTAATTAGTTTAAAACTTTATATTTGATCTAGGGAAATGTTTTTTCTTTCAAAATATTTCTGATTTTTTTCTCCAATTTTTCTCTTTGCCACCAAAAACCACAGCCACGGTTGTGTCAGTGACAGCTGGACAGATGTACACAACACCAACCAGCAGAGCTACACCAACACCAACCATGCCGAACAGGACTCCATCAACACCAGGCACTCAATCACCACCAGCCACCCCATTTCAAACACCAAACACACCATCAACAGAAAGCCCAAAAACAGCAGGCACAATTTCCACCACTCCCAGCTCCCCACCCTGCACGCCCCACTGCGAGTGGTCGCGCTGGATCTCATCTGATTACCCCAGCTACGATGGGGTGGGAGACAATGAGACGTTTGCTCACATCCTGGAAGTAGAAGGAGAAGACAGCATCTGCTTGGAGCCGAGTGACATCGAGTGTCGAATCTATGGCTCCTTGAATAACAAACTTCAGCCGGGAGTGACCTGTGACAAGGACGAAGGGCTGCTCTGTCTCAACAAAGACCCCTTCTTCTTCTGCGATGACTACGAGATCAAGGTCCTGTGCTGTTTGGCCTGTGAGTCGGGCGGCCCAACTACGACCCAAGAAACACCTACATCAAGCACACCACCACCAACAATCGCAAGCACAACAATACCAGGCACACCATCAACAGCAATCTCAATGATTTCCACCACTCCCAGCTCCCCACCCTGCACGCCCCACTGCGAGTGGTCACGCTGGATCTCATCTGATTACCCCAGCTACGATGGGATGGGAGACAATGAGACGTTTGCTCACATCCTGGAAGTAGAAGGGGAAGGCAGCATCTGCTTGGAGCCGAGTGACATTGATTGTCGAATCTATGGCACCACGAATAACGAACTTCAGCCGGGAGTGACCTGTGACAAGGACGAAGGGCTGCTCTGTCGCAACAAAGACCCCTTCTTCTTTTGCGATGACTACGAGATCAAGGTCCTGTGCTGTTTGGCCTGTGAGTCGGGCGGCCCAACTACCACTTCAGGAACAACTCCATCAAGCAAACCACCACCAACAACCGCAAGCACAACAACACCAGGCACACCATCAATGGCAACCCCAACGATTTCCATCACTCCCAGCTCCCCACCCTGCACGCCCCACTGCGAGTGGTCGCGCTGGATCTCATCTGATTACCCCAGCTACGATGGGGTGGGAGACAATGAGACGTTTGCTCACATCCTGGAAGTAGAAGGAGAAGACAGCATCTGCTTGGAGCCGAGTGACATCGAGTGTCGAATCTATGGCTCCTTGAATAACAAACTTCAGCCGGGAGTGACCTGTGACAAGGACGAAGGGCTGCTCTGTCTCAACAAAGACCCCTTCTTCTTCTGCGATGACTACGAGATCAAGGTCCTGTGCTGTTTGGCCTGTGAGTCGGGCGGCCCAACTACGACCCAAGAAACACCTACATCAAGCACACCACCACCAACAATCGCAAGCACAACAATACCAGGCACACCATCAACAGCAATCTCAATGATTTCCACCACTCCCAGCTCCCCACCCTGCACGCCCCACTGCGAGTGGTCACGCTGGATCTCATCTGATTACCCCAGCTACGATGGGATGGGAGACAATGAGACGTTTGCTCACATCCTGGAAGTAGAAGGGGAAGGCAGCATCTGCTTGGAGCCGAGTGACATTGATTGTCGAATCTATGGCACCACGAATAACGAACTTCAGCCGGGAGTGACCTGTGACAAGGACGAAGGGCTGCTCTGTCGCAACAAAGACCCCTTCTTCTTTTGCGATGACTACGAGATCAAGGTCCTGTGCTGTTTGGCCTGTGAGTCGGGCGGCCCAACTACCACTTCAGGAACAACTCCATCAAGCAAACCACCACCAACAACCGCAAGCACAACAACACCAGGCACACCATCAATGGCAACCCCAACGATTTCCATCACTCCCAGCACCCCACCCTGCACGCCCCACTGCGAGTGGTCACGCTGGATCTCATCTGATTACCCCAGCTACGATGGGGTGGGAGACAATGAGACGTTTGCTCACATCCTGGAAGTAGAAGGGGAAGGCAGCATCTGCTTGGAGCCGAGTGACATCGAGTGTCGAATCTATGGCTCCTTGAATAACGAACTTCAGCCGGGAGTGACCTGTGACAAGGACGAAGGGCTGCTCTGTCTCAACAAAGACCCCCTCTTCTTCTGCGATGACTACGAGATCAAGGTCCTGTGCTGTTTGGCCTGTGAGTCGGGCGGCCCAACTACGACCCAAGAAACAACTACATCAAGCACACCACCACCAACAATCGCAAGCACAACAATACCAGGCACACCATCAACAGCAATCTCAACGATTTCCACCACTCCCAGCTCCCCACTCTGCACGCCCAACTGCGAGTGGTCACGCTGGATCTCATCTGATTACCCCAGCTATGGTGGGGTGGGAGACAATGAGACGTTTGCTCACATCCGAGAAGTAGAAGGAGAAGACAGCATCTGCTTGGAGCCGAGTGACATCGAGTGTCGAGTCTATGGCACCACGACGAACGAACTTCAGCCGGGAGTCACCTGTGACACGGACGAAGGGCTGCTCTGTCGCAACGAAGAACCCTTCTTCTTCTGCGATGACTACGAGATCAAGGTCCTGTGCTGTTCGGGATGTGAGTCGGGCGGCCCAACTACGACCCCAGGAACAACTCCATCAAGGACACCGCCACCAACTACTACTGCTACCTCTCCACAAAGCCTATCAACAAACACAACACCAGGCACAACAACACTTGGCACACCACCAACAGCAAGCACAACAACACCAGGCACAACAACAACAGCAAGCACAACAACGGGAAGCACAACAACACCAAGCACACCATCAACAGCAAGAACAACAACACCAGGCACAACAACAGCAAACATAACGACAGGAAGCACAACAACACCAAGCACACCATCAACTCTAAGCACAACAACACCAGACACACCATCAACAGCAAGCACAACAACAGCAAGCACAACAACATCAGGCACACCATCAACAGCAAGCACAACAACATCAGGCACACCATCAACAGGAAGCACAACAACACTCGTCACACCATCAGGAACGCCAGGCACACCACACTCAACCACCACAGTCCTGTCAACTACAGCTTCGCCCTCCTCCACCTTCTGCACGCCGTGGTGTGAGTGGACCGAGTGGCTGGATTCGAGTTATCCTGACAAGGTTGGGAATGAAAACGAGACGTATGCCCACCTCCGAGCGAAGGGCGTAATCTTCTGCACGAAGCCGGTCGCTATTGAGTGCGAGGCTGTGGGATTTCCCGGATTGCCGCCCGACGAGATTAACGACAACGTCACCTGTGACGTGACCAGCGGCTTCCAGTGCTTCAACTCGGATGGCTCATTTGAAGCCAGTTGCTTCAACTTCCGCATCAGAGTCCTGTGCTGCTACACCACATGCGAACAAGTGAATAACACAACATCAACAACAACACCAGGCACACCATCAACAGCAAGCACAACAACATCAACAACACCAGGCACATCATCAACAGCAAGCACAACAACACCAGAAACACCATCAACTACAAGCACAACAACACCAAGCACAACAACAACAGTAAGCACAACAACAATTGGCACAACAACAGCAAGCACAACAACACCAGCAAGCACATCAACACCAAGCACAACAACAGCAAGCACAACAACAGCAAGCACACCAACAACAGCAAGCACAACAACAGCAAGCACAACAACAGCAGGCACACCAACAACAGCAAGCACATCAACACCAAGCACAACAACAGCAAGCACAACAACAGCAAGCACACCAACAACAGCAAGCACAACAACAGCAGGCACACCAACAACAGCAAGCACAACAACAGCAAGCACAACAACAGCAAGCACAACAACACCAAGCACACCAACAACAGCAAGCACAACAACACCAGGCACACCAACACCAGCAAGCACAACAACACCAAGCACACCAACAACAGCAAGCACATCAACACCAAGCACAACAACAGCAACCACAACAACACCAAGCACAACAACAGCAAGCACAACAACAGCAAGCACAACAACAGCAAGCACAACAACCCCAAGCACAACAACACCAGGCACACCAACAACAACAAGCACAACAACACCATCAGTCACACCATCAACAGCAAGCACAACAACAGCAAGCACAACAACACCATCAGTCACACCTTCAACAGCAAGCACAACAACAGCAAGCACAACAACAGCAAGCACAACAACCCCAAGCACAACAACACCAGGCACACCAACAACAGCAAGCACAACAACAGCAAGCACAACAACACCATCAGTCACACCATCAACAGCAAGCACAACAACACCAAGCACATCAACAGCAAGCACACCAACAACAGCAAGCACAACAACAGCAAGCACAACAACACCAGGAACACCATCAACTACAAGCACAACAACACCAAGCACAACAACAACAGTAAGCACAACAACAATTGGCACAACAACAGCAAGCACAACAACACCAGCAAGCACATCAACACCAAGCACAACAACAGCAAGCACAACAACAGCAAGCACACCAACAACAGCAAGCACAACAACAGCAAGCACAACAACAGCAGGCACACCAACAACAGCAAGCACATCAACACCAAGCACAACAACAGCAAGCACAACAACAGCAAGCACACCAACAACAGCAAGCACAACAACAGCAGGCACACCAACAACAGCAAGCACAACAACAGCAAGCACAACAACAGCAAGCACAACAACACCAAGCACACCAACAACAGCAAGCACAACAACACCAGGCACACCAACACCAGCAAGCACAACAACACCAAGCACACCAACAACAGCAAGCACATCAACACCAAGCACAACAACAGCAACCACAACAACACCAAGCACAACAACAGCAAGCACAACAACAGCAAGCACAACAACAGCAAGCACAACAACCCCAAGCACAACAACACCAGGCACACCAACAACAACAAGCACAACAACACCATCAGTCACACCATCAACAGCAAGCACAACAACAGCAAGCACAACAACACCATCAGTCACACCTTCAACAGCAAGCACAACAACAGCAAGCACAACAACAGCAAGCACAACAACCCCAAGCACAACAACACCAGGCACACCAACAACAGCAAGCACAACAACAGCAAGCACAACAACACCATCAGTCACACCATCAACAGCAAGCACAACAACACCAAGCACATCAACAGCAAGCACACCAACAACAGCAAGCACAACAACAGCAAGCACAACAACACCAGGAACACCAACAACAGCAAGTACAACAACAGCAAGCACAACAACACCAAACACACCATCAACAGCAAGCACAGTAACAGCAAGCACAACAACAGCACGCACAACAACACTAGGCCCAACAACAACAAGCACAACAATTTCCACCACCCCCTGCACCTGCACGCCCCACTGCGAGTGGTCACGCTGGATCTCATCTGATTACCCCAGCTACGATGGGCAGGGAGACAATGAGACGTTTGCTCACATCCGAGAAGTAGAAGGAGAGGACAGCATCTGCTTGGAGCCGAGTGACATCGAGTGTCGAGTCTATGGCACCACGACGAACCAGCTTCAGCCGGGAGTGACCTGTGACAAGGACGAAGGGCTGATCTGTCTCAACAAAGAACCCTTCTTCTTCTGCGATGACTACGAGATCAAGGTCCTGTGCTGTTCGGGCTGTGAGTCGGGCTGCTCAACCACCCCAGGAACAACTCCATCAAACACACCATCAACAGCAAGCACAACAACACCAGGCACATCACCAACAGCAAGCACAACAACACCAAGCACACCATCAACAACAAGCACAACAACAGCAAGCACAACAACACTAGGAACACCAACAACAGCAAGCACAACAACACTAGGAACACCACCAACAACAACACCAAGCACACCATCAACAACAAGCACAACAACAGCAAGCACAACAACACCAGGCACACCACCAACAGCAAGCACAACAACAGCAAGCACAACAACAGCAAGCACAACAACACTAGGCACAACAACAACAGCAAGCACACCATCAACAGCAAGCACACCAACAGCAAGCACAACAACACCAAGCACACCAACAGCAAGCACAACAACACCAGGCACACCAACAGCAAGCACAACAACACCAAGCACACCAACAGGAAGCACAACAACACCAGGCACAACAGCAAGCACAACAACAACAGGCACAACAACAGCAAGCACAACAACACCAAGCACACCAACAACAGCGAGCACAACAACACCAGGCACACCATCAACAGCAAGCACAACAACACCAGGCACACCACCAACAGCAAGCACAACAATAGCAAGCACAACAATAGCAAGCACAACAACACCAAGCACACCAACAACACCAAGCACACCAACAACAGCAAGCACAACAACACCAAGCACACCAACAACACCAAGCACACCAACAACAGCAAGCACAACAACGGCAAGCACAACAACGGCAAGCACAACAACAGCAAGCACAACAATACCAGGCATACCAACAACAGCAAGCACAGCAACAGCAA